TGATGCTTTATGTGATGTCAGATTTGGGTCTGTGCAGTTTGTAGCTGCACTTGACTTGTAAGCAAGTAAAGATGGCAAATCTCAGATAAAAAGATAAAATAAGCAGCAATGTCACAAAAAATTCTTGGAAAACATTTTGAAAAAGAACAAACTTTATGCACAGCCTTACACTTTGCACACATGTTGGCCTATTTTTAAGTACTTTATGTTCTGGGGTTTTGGGTCTTTTAATTGAGAAACTTCAAAATGTGTGTGCTCACTTACTTTTGTGTGCATTTACCATGGCAGAGGTTAAGGAAATTCCTAGATTATATTCTACAAACCTTTTCTGCAGGTGAAATTTCTCCCAGCCTGAGGAGTACAATAGAGTTCTGGACTCCAATGTTTGCTGATGACAGCTGCAAGAAGTCTGTGTACCTCCCATAGTGACCATAGAGTAGTTCACCCTGCAAAGGAATTCAGATCTTTGTCATTTCAAAAGAGAAGGATATGAAAACTGAGATCCTTTTAGACAAATCCTAAAGAACATATTTTCAGTCAATACACAACGCTCACTTTTAGCCAAGGCACAATATTTGTCCGCCTAAAGAAAAGAAAATTTGATTTACAGAATTTAGTTTCATCTGTGTTAAGTATATGTAATTATATTATTTGTGTGTTAGTTTTAAATTTCTTTTTTATTTTTGTTTTGTTACATTTAATGTAATGATAATTGTCACTGGATTTTACTTTTTTTCTTCAGAAAATCCAGTTCACTTCTGCTAAATATTCTGTTGCTACATTTTTATTCTGAACCGACCATGGTTCAAAAATGCATAAACAGAGTGAAAATGATTGGCTATTACCAAGGTCATGTTCGGCCCACGTGTTACCCATGTTTTTAATTATTATTCATTTCTTGCATGAGAATCTAATTTTTTTAGATAGGGCTTTTCTAGCCTATGAGATAAATGGCATTTTTTAATTGTGCTGTTCAAATTAGTGATCACGTAGCCCCGTCAAGTAAGCCACCATGTGATCTAAGATCGCGGCTTAAAACAGCCATTTACTAGTGGATTTTTCAATCATATTTTTACACCTTTAGAGCTCAAGGTTTCTTTGGTGTTGTCACTAGTTTGATTTTAAAGTTCTTCTGTTTTTGATATTTAATAATTTATATTTTCTGGAAAATGTTTTTCTTCATAAAAATCTTGGACAAAGACATTCAGTGGAAATTATTTGGAATTCTAAAGCCAGAATATTATTCTTGATTCACAAAATTCAACAAGGAACTGTTGACACATCAGTACAATACATTCATCTGACATAATCATCCTCCATATTGGAACTTGACTAGGATTTGAACTTGGAATTATTTAGAACTTTGTACTGTTATTTTTCAATTCTAGGATTAATTTTTGGATTAAATTCACAAACTGTAAGTCCATTTTCACATTTTTACTTTTGTTTCAAGGAAATAAATCATTTTGTTAAAATTTACAAAGCTTGTTGGCTTCACTTTTTTTTTGTTACTTTTGAATGAGCCTATACGTAACATCTGAAAGAATGACAGAATACATATAAACGTTACTGCATGCATTTCATGCAAGAAACATACTTTACAGTGTTTTGTATCTCTATGCTCAGTAGCTTAGAGCTTTATTTATATTGTAGGGTACAGGGTAATAGCGTCATCATCATCTGCATTGTCATCTGCAGTTCTAAGGATCACTGTCATCTAACCTCTGCGTGGGTTTGAGTCTTGGATTACGATAATGTTAGATTGTGAGAAAGCTTGCCAGTAGCTTCTCATGGGTCTGTAGTTCTTTCCAGGGTTTTCCTGGCTTCTTCCTCCACCATTAATACAGGCCACCATGTCTAGCCTATTGTGTGCTGAAAAATAGCGTTAAACCCTACAACAACAACAACAACAACAACTAGAAAATCATGCAAAGATTTGTGTTTATGTTCTGAAATGGTACATTTTGTAGTGAAGTCAAATAAGTAATATGTTTTGACTTTGAGGATAATTTCCACAACTGTTTAATAATGCATCACTTACTGCTATGTACCAAATCTTTCAAACATTCTTTAAGAAGTTCTTTGGGAAACACTTTAAATTTGTTCAGTCCCAATTTTCGTGGTTTTCAAGGTGAGCTAGACCACACATTTAAAGTGACAATGAATGTGAAATGTACATCTGGACAAATACATCAATGATGAGGAAAATTGAACTGACTATAATTTTGAATGGAAAATTTCATTAGCAGGAAAAATTGTATAGCTTTAATGACTACTTGATTATGATATATAACAATACATGTAGATTTTAATTCACTGTCCTTTTTTCCTCCAAAGCACATACCATTACCATTTATAAATACAATTTTGCACATAGGAGCTAACTGTTAAACAATCAGCTGATTAGATTTGCTTTCTCAAAACCCATTTTAATTAGGTCACTCCAAAGTACTGTTTTGTCAGGTGTGCAGATAATCCACTTAGCATGAACTGGCTTAACTCTTTAACCTCTGGAGGTTTTTGTTGTCTTCCCTGAAATGCCAGTAGGAAATACATTTGAGGGCTATTTCTGAATACATCCTCTAATACATCAACTTCCAAGAGATTTCCAGTTAACCTAATGCTTAGCTGTGTTAGAAACATCATTTTTCATTGGGTATTTCACTCATGCATGAGAAGATGGGTAAAAGTTAGAGGGGGGGGGGTTGCTTAACAGACCCATCATTTTTTTGTATAGAGACCACTCTTTATTCAGGTCCAAAATATTACATTTTTTCCCTCTGTATCTTGTAGTGCAAATAGAATATCCAGATTATTTGGTATCATTGTAGAGCTACATATGTCTACCTTTCTATAATACCACCCACTTTAGTGTATCATACATGACCATGATGCTACAGAGCTCAGAAGTAGCTACTACCTCCTGACATGTAAACAAGGTGCCAAGGGTTGATGAGTTTGGATGTTTTCTAGTCAACCAAGATCTGATTTCAATGTACATTTCCACTGTCCATATCTTTGCAGTTTATTTTTTTGTGTAATTTGTAATAACTACCTGCAGCACCAGCTATCACCTTATGCAGATTGGTAATTCCAGCATTTATTAGAACTTTATGGATCCCAATTTTCTACAAGGTCAAGGTCACTTAGCAACAAAGGATTAACAGGCAGTGATTTTGGCAAGATTATTTGAATGACAGGTCTACAATCCTGGCAATGTACAGGAACTTAATTCCTGATTGGTAAAAACTTGATGCTTTGTTACTGCTTTTTAAGAACACAAAAACCTAAAATTAATTAAGACTGCAATAGTGGTATTAAATGTTAATTAAGACATGTGGGAAAAAAATTAGCATTTTCATAAAGATCTCCACATTTACACTAGATGCAAGCGATGAATAACATAAGTAATCAACTTCATAACTACAGTACTGGTTACATCTATTTGCTCACAAAGGCATGGAAATGAATGTTGATATTATTATTATATGCAGAAACATATACATCATTCTGTTTTGTAAATGATAAAGCCACAAAATTAAGTACCCTTGAACATGTACTTTTTACCCAAACCACTAAATTTGAACACCACAAAAAATGAAGTTTTTCACAGTAAATGGATCTCTCAGGAAAAATGCAGATCTTTTACATCACACATTCTAATTACAAATGCTGCACGCACCTGTACCGACAATATTTTTCTTTTACATTTTATTATCTACAATTTCTTAAGATGGTTATCTTCATCGTATACATATAATTTTTGAGGGGTACACATGTGTTCCAATCAACAAGAAATTATGGTAATTTACCTGTACACTTCCTGGTGGAGAGAAGGCTACAAAGGGAGGTAATTCCATCTCATGCCCATTTTCTGCTTCAATTCCTAATGCAAAACTACCACATTGTGTATCATTGAATGTCAAATTCAGATAGGTGGCTCCATCTGCACTAAGAATTTCCAGTCGGTTTGGTTGTTCTGGATCAGGGGAAGTTACTACTAAATCATGTTCCTCCACATCAACATGGTCAAAACCAAATCTCTCAAACTCCTCCTTGACCTTTCTGAAGACAACACTGTCCCAGTCTTTGTCAGGCAAGGGGACGTCACTCTCTGAAAGCTCCCTGAAAGTATAAAACATAGCATTTAATGAAGCATCTTAGTTTAAGAATAATCCAAAGTAATATGTATGCAATTATTTTTTTGTCATTTGTCACACATTATCAAATACCTAGTCTTAACACAGAATGCTTTATTTTTTGATACAGTATAGAATAAAAAAATGATACAAATGTATTCTGTAGCTATACCATTCTGTACTCAGTGCTATTATTGTTATTGCTCTGTTGTTATTGTTATTGTTGTATTGTTATAAGTATTGAATGACACAACTACCAATTTTCAACCTCAAATTATTTTATTTAACAAGCAATACATTCTTTCCTTTTGCTTTAATCATTTCAAACCACTCAACAGTCTAATAAGGGAAATAATGAATGCCAATTAGCACCTGGTTTGATAAATTTATAAAACTGTTTGATGTATCACCCATCTGTTCAACATGTGGTCCACCTGACTACCAATGCCATATTGTCCCCTAAATTTGCATAAAGGTGAAGTTTGGCACCTGAGTGACTGTGCCCTCAAGTTCAGCATAGTAAAAATGATATTAATTGCAAGATAATTGTAACCCCAAGCTAAAATTAACCCAGCCCACCAGACTCTAGACTGATTTTAATTTTTCCTGCAGAAAAGCAACAAAATCCAGTCTTTAAGCCATCTATCATCTTTACTCACATATAGTCCAACTGCAAAAAGCAAAGACCCTGATCTGGCACTCTATAATGTGCTGGCAGATCATGGTCTACACTGCCTGTTATACTCATTACCCCTAACAACACAGACTCAGATCTGCAATTATATAATGTGCCAAATATCTGGGTCTACAAAGTTTGCAGTTTGCATTTTGACTCAAAAGCAAATATTACTTCAACTGCTTGTGTGACCTAAGTGGTTAAAGCATCTGCCTTGAATGCAGGAGGTCACAGGTTTAAACCCCAGCAGAGCCATAACAAAGATACATAAAAATGGTACAAACAGCTGCTTTGCCTGGCACTCAGCATTAAGAGGTTAGTATTAGGATTGGTCGGCCTGGTGTCAGGATAAAATGACTGGGTGGGACATCATGTTATATGTATGTGTCTGCTGCATGATGCCCCAGTGCTAGATATCACTATAAACTGACACACTGCAGACATATCAGCAATATGATTAAAATTGTTAAAGTTATGTTAAAAATCCAAAACCATACAAATTATTTTGTGAAATTTTTTAAATAATTTTTTAAAAAACAGTATTTATCACATAGCCACAAACTGCTCTAGCCAAATTTCAACATATGGTAGTCCAGACCAACATTTTCTGGTAGACCTTTGGCTCAAGGCACAAGATCTTTTTTAGATACTGCCAAGTATGAAAGTACCACATATACCTGCATATAAGTTTGAGTCCAACAGCAAATAATAGACCCTGATCTGATGGCACATTGTGTGTTGCTGTTGTTTGTTCTGCTGATTAGTCATGACAAACTGCACAGACCCAGATCTGCAGACACATTTTGGATAAGCAGATCTGGGTCTATGCAGTTTGCAGTTAAATCTGACTTATAAGTGAGTATATACGGTAGTTTGTAGCTAATCTGAATCAGAATGTCCTAGTGGAAATGCAAGTGTTAATTATACCATTTTCCACAGGATCAATGATGCAAACTGATGACATTTTAAATGTGTTAGACTACAGTCAACTAAGATTGCAAACACCCATTCTAGCAATTGTATGAATCATTTGTTGCAAACAGGAACATACAATTTTCCTAACATTTTAAAATAAAACATGTTTAGGTTTCTTTTCAAAAGAAAATTACAAGTCCTCAAATCTAACCCTTTATTAAATGTAATTACTGCAAAAGAGGAATTTCTAAAAATTGAAAGAATAAAGAAATACAATTTATTTGTCACATTGATTCAAGTTTTGATACTCCCTAATTCTATTGACTTAAGTAACTATGCAGAGCCAGATCTACAATTTACGTCAAGATATGTTGATTTTCCGTGACAATGGTTAAATGAAAATTTTCATGATTGCATCAATGCAACAAGATACAGTTGTTTGCAAAAGCAAGTATGATTCTTGGTGGTAAACTTTGATCAGATTGTTTCCATTATGTATTGTGAAAATAAAGATTCTTTCATGGAGTTATTCCCAAGGCGCCATAAGCATACAAGGCCTTTCAATGCTTCCTTTATTAGCATTTCTGGCAATTTTACTGCTGTGAACTGTGGAGTCATACAAAATGACAACATCTCTTGCTTGTGTTCTTCAAAGAAAAACTTCTGTTTAGTTTCTTGATCATATGTTGACACAAAAATGAGTCAAGAATTATCTTAAAATTTGTGAATATCAAGTATTTGACTGTATTTTGACCATATTTATCCATGTACATTATTTATAAGACCATCTCAATTTTTTTTAAATATTGCCAAATATTTATGTCTGATTATAAACTTGTGCTACTACACCTATGCTTTAACCAACATTATTTCTTTATGACAAAATAATTGCATCTGTCACAAATTAATGGTGAACATAAAATATAATTAATGATCCTTTAATCACATGGAATGTTGTGAAACATATTCAAGTCAACTACAACTTTGAGAAACGTAAAAATAAGTATAACAACCGCCCACCCCAAAACAAAAACACATCATGTTTTACTTATTTACTGTCGTATGTAAATGCGCTAAGTATATGTATTTCTTTATAAACAAACATGTGAATCATCTAACAACTTTCAGAAACATAGTCATTTTTGGCCTGTATTTTATATCATTTCTCAAGTCCACCAAATATTTTCTCTTTTGTTGAGTGTGTTTCGTATTTACTTGACCTCTGATAAATATCTTGCAAGGGTGCTGGAATCCCAATCAATTATATCCATAGTATAGCTAGAAAACTTTAGGTTTCTGTATCACCACTTCCTATTAATAGGTTAACATCTGCATGGTGTCTTTCAGGTATTGTATAAGCTTAATTAATCATCCAGCTTTAGTCCATCTTTTGAATTAGAACTGATACAACATTAACATACATATAGATAATTCCTATACAGTAGAACTCCGATTATCCTTCACTGTGCAGGACTGAGACCATGACAGATGTAAGAATAGAGGATAATAGAAAATATATATATATATATATATATATATATATATATATATATATATATATATATATATATATTAAAAGTATTAAACAATAGAGGGGGTCATCAAAAAATCATAATATCTACATATGTCCATGTACCTGTCTTTAATATTTGGAGGTACAATGCTCTGATGGTTAACAAAGACTGACAGTTAATCAGGTACCAGATAAGTTCTACCTTACTCTTAAAGATACTGTCCATTTAATTTTCGAGGAAAAGACTATGATTTTCTTATGATATATATATATATATATATATATATATATATATATATATATATATATATATTTAAGTTATAGTACTTAATATTATTCTGGCATATCATAAGTATCACTGAACATTCAGAAAAAACAAAACTTTTCATTGTACCCATCTTTGATAGACAGTGTAAACCCCAATTTGCTGTCTGAAGATGTGTAAGCCAAAATGATTTTAATTTTAAAGTTTTCCACATGATTTTAAGGAGAAAATGAGTACCTTTGTGTGACATTTTTAAAATCTGACACTGATTAAAGACACAATACTGCAATGGAAGGCATATATAAAAAGAAATCTCTTAGTTACCAGATATGGCTACCAACAGAATATGATGCATTGCAGTGGTAAAGTTGCAGTCGAAAAACCAGATTTTCTCAAACAAAATTTTTAGTTTAGGTTTTTAATATCAAATTCAAGGACATTTTATGACAAAAGGTAATTTTCAAGGTTTTCAGGATATTTTTATTGAATTCAAATTTCAGTTGGATTCCATGACCTACTTAAAAATAAGTAGGGCATGGAAACCCTGATACACTCATACCTTTGCCTAACTTATATCTAATGTAAATCCCTCAATGTGCAAGCATAAATGAAGCTACACTAATTTATCTGATTGCAGGCTAACAGTGGAGTCTGATCCAAGGCTAAGAAATCTCTCTCATGTATAACACTATATGTAAATAAAACCATTATTATTATTATTAATATTATTATTATTATTAATATAATTATTATTCCTACAAGATAAATACACATGACAGTGATTTGTCAAATTAAAACATGCACTTCCTCTTTTTAGACATCAAGTTTAAAAACTCAAAGATTGCGATTAATCACACCTATTTCCTTTACAATTAGACAAATCATATGTAAAGATTTGATATATAAAATATTCACTTACAAGTCAAGCCTTACTGCAAAAAACAGAGACTCTGAACTAATATCAAGGTCTATGCTTGTTCTGTGATTACGCACAACAAACTGCACAATCTGCCATGATTGCTTCATGTGAATGTGATGGTAGATCATTTGCATTTTGCAGTTGGACTTGCTCTCATGCACACTTTTTCATGTATGACATTTTTCATGAGCAATGGCACCAAATCTTCACACTTAATATATTTTTTCATAGATAAAACAAATGATCTAAAGAACTGGTGAGATCAGATTTCTATATCTTTTAAAATGTGTGCATAAAGAAAAAAATATCCATTTAAATTTAACAACTCACTTCATTGTCTGCATTTATGCTCCATCTTGAGCACAACCAGTAAAGATTATGCAGACGCCATGATGGAAAAATGTTGAAAATATGATCTGTAATTTTCATAAATTCAGGGTTTTATCAGTGTGATTTTTTTTTGTATATTAGCATGGAATTCATAATGACACCTAAGATGAGAATGATTGGTGGTCAAATATTGATCTGCCCCCCCTCCCCAATTAGACCACTCTGGATTTGAAATACATTCAACCTCCAAGCAGTACAATATATACACAATTATAAGCAAAATCCAACAGCAAACTGCACAAACCCTGATCTGCCATCATTTAATGCTCTGGCATATCTGGATTCAGGCCATTTGTTATTAGTCATCAGTAGAACAAGCAACAAAGACTGATCTGCCAGTGCATTATGTGGCCCCATATCTGAGAATGTTGTTTACAATTATGTTCAACTTATAAGTGAATATATTTGGCAGCCTGACCTCAAGAAATATCCTATTTTCTTTGGGATGAAACATAAAGTTCATTTGCTGACCTAATTTATTTTATATTTATAAATCTTTATCTTCAAATGGATAAATCCTGATGAGACAGTGAAATTTCTCATCAAAAACATGAAACATTTATTTCTTCTGAATGTCTGTCTTACAATTATTTGAACAAACTCGAAATAATAAGCTTAAAATTACAATACAAGATTATGCATAGTGTTCCAGTGAATCTCAAGTACATAGTACCTACTTAAAATGGGATTTCTGCCTATATGGCAAAATTATGGATTTAATAACAACCAGATTTTGAACCAGAGCTGCTGCAGCATACATTTTACCATGAGTTCTAATACCAAGTATATAAAACTATGATATCCCAAGTCCTAATACTAAGTATATAAAACTAAGATATCCCAAGTCCTAATACTAAGTATATAAACTATGATATCCCAAGTCCTAATACCAAGTATATAAAACTATGATATCCCAAGTCCTAATACTAAGTATATAAAACTATGATATCCCAAGTCCTAATACTAAGTATATAAAACTATGATATCCCAAGTCCTAATACCAAGTATATAAAACTATGATATCCCAAGTCCTAATACCAAGTATATAAAACTATGATATCCCAAGTCCTAATACTAAGTATATAAACTATGATATCCCAAGTCCTAATACCAAGTATATAAAACTATGATATCCCAAGTCCTAATACCAAGTATATAAAACTATGATATCCCAAGTCCTAATACTAAGTATATAAAACTATGATATCCCAAGTCCTAATACTAAGTATATAAAACTATGATATCCCAAGTCC